CTCCAGTATCACAAAACAAACAGAAAATCAAACCAAAGACAGCAGGGTTTTATATATTGTACATTGTACCAGGCCCTAACATGGGGCTCTACTTATTAAAAAATGTGCTCAAGTATTCCATAAGTTACCTGAAAATCACAGTGATGGTACTTTCATTTCTAGTGTTTTGCTCAGCTCATTTTCAAAGGTGTAGATTTCAATTTCTATAATGTCTTGTTCTTGCTTATGGATTCTCTTTTTTCTTTAGATCTTTACACATTTAAAACAAACATTATTGTTATTATTTGTACTGGGGATTGAACCCAGGGGCACTCCACTGAGCCACATCCCCAGCCCTTTTTGTATTTTATATAGAGACAGGATCTTGTTGAGTTGCTTAGGGCCTCATTTAGTTGCTGAAGCTGGCTTTGAACTTTCAATCCTCCTGCTTCAGCCTCTGGAGCTGCTGGAATTCTAGGCATGCCCCACTGCACCCAGCTAAAACAAACTTATTTTAGAGCTCCTTTCAGATTGTTTGATTGTCCCTAGTTCTTGTACTACAAATCCTTCCTTTATTTGGATTTGGTGCTTTCCTTTTATGAAAAAATGTTGATTTTCTCTTGTGTTTTATATATTATATATATTTTTTGGTACCAGCAATTGAAACCAGGCATGCTTAACCACTGAGCCATCTCCCCAGCACTTTTATTTTTTATTTTAAGACAAGGTCTCACTAAGTTGTTCAGAGCCTCACTAAATTGCTGAGACTGGCCTCAAATTTGCAATCCTCCTGCCTCAGCCTCCTGAGTTGCTGGGATTACAGGCATGCACCACCGTGCCCTTTGAGGACTGAGTTTTCTTAAGAGAGTACACTAAATGGAATGGGTGATGATATGTTCTCCCCCTCGAGTATAGCAGTGAAGTTCATGGGTAGATATGTTTGGTGGGACTCATTTATAATTTGAAGAAGCTTTAACAGTATTTGTTATACAGAGGAGATAAATATATTCAGTGTTCTATTCAGACACAGAACACACTGTGCTGTTTTCCAGCACTTAGGCACCTCCTCAGATTTTGTGGAATTCCTGGAAGGTGGTGACAAGTCCTTTGATGTGCTGGCTGATTCTATAGTAGACTTGGATCCAAGAGATGGGAGATACTGGTGTTTCAGGACATCAAGGAATTTATAATCTAGGAGAGACACCCAAGGCAATGATAAGAATACAAGTCAACAAAGTACTGTCCTAGGAGTAAGTATAAGAGCTCTGGGGAGCCCTGGTGTGGTGCATGCCTGTAATCCCAATGACTCAGGAGGCTGGTAATGTGGTTCAATGATTAAGCATCTGTGGGTTCAATCCTCAGTTCCAAAAAACACTTTTTTTTTTTTTTTTTTGCAGTGCTGGGGATTGAACCCAAGGCCTTATGCATGTACAAAAAACATTTTTGAAAAATAAATAACCGAGGCTGTAGCTCAGTGGTAAAGCATTCCTGGGTTTAATCCCCAGTAACTCACCTCCCCCGCCATCCGAGAGAGAGAGAGAGAGAGAGAGAGAGAGAGAGAGAGAGAGAGAGAAACTATGGGCATAAATATACAACAGGAATTAATTCTGCAACATGGAAGAAAATAAGAAAAACTAGAAAGGAGATGGTGACCTGGTGAAGATGTATCTCAGTGGTGGAGTGCTTGCCTAGCATGCACAAGGTCCTGGGCTCAATCCTCAGAACCACCAAAAAACAAAAACAAAATGGAAAACCAGTTGACAACCAATGTGTCATTTCTCTTGGGAAGGGACACAAGTAGGGGGCATATATAGCTTCCTGATTGCAGAGGGTTTGGACAAGGTTTGGGATCAATTTTCTTTATGCAGACACAGCCAAGGTCTTTTCTTTTCAGCAATGACCCCACCCTTCACCGCCTTGAATGTCCGTCTTCCAACACTGAAACATAAAAACCAGGGTATTGGCTTCTGGTCAATGTACCCTTCCCTACTCCCATCCTACCCCCTGACTCTGAGGTCTTACCCTCTCACTGATCCCAGACCAAGCTAGTCACTACTTCCCATAAGTTTTCTATTTTCAAGTTCTACTGTTTTGGGCTACAAATATATATCCATTTCCACTGGTGGGTATGTTTTTATTGCTTTTGTTCTTCTTGTTGATTTTTGGATGATATCCAAAGAAAGGATTACTCTACCATATTTCACATATGAAGTGTTCAAGTTAAATTTTTTTTTTTTTTTTTTTTATTTGAGCCAGTTGCGGTGACACACACATATACTCCCAGTGGCTTGGGAGGCTGAGGCAGGAGGATCGCAAGTTCAAAGCTGTCTCAGCAAAAGCGAGGCACTAAGCAACTCAGTGAGATCCTGTCTCTAAATAAAATACAAAATAGGGCTGGGGATGTGGCTTAGTGGTTGAGTGCTCTGAGTTAATCCCTGGTAACTGCCCCCCCCCCCCAAAAAAAAAGAGCTTTTTTTTTTCATTATTTGCTAGTTTCTGACATTTCCCAGTTTGTGATAATCTTCTCTCTCTTAGGCCATTAGACTTTCCTTTTCTTTGCATTAAAGATGAGGATTCACCTTCATGTTCTCTAATTTTGATTATCAGAGCTGTTGATCCTCATGGTTTAAAAAATTAAATAGTCCTGTGTGGCTTATTAGGAAAACTGGTTGTCACTAGCCTGCCATTTCTCTTTCCTCTGCATTTCCCAGTTCTCTAGAAACATCCTTTATCAACTTTTTTCTTTTGGTACCAGGGATTGAACCCAGGTGCACTTAACCACTGAGGCACATCTCTAACCCTTTTTAAATTTTTTATTTTGAGGTCTTGCTAAGTGCTTAGGATCCTGCTAAGTTGCTGAGGTTGGCTTTGAACTCATGATCCTCCTGCCTCAGCCTTCCAAGCCCCTAGGATTACAGGTATGTGCCACTGTGCCTGACTTTTTATCAAACATCTTTTTTTTTTTTTTTTTGGTGGTGCTGGGGATTGAACCCAGGGATTGTGCATGTGAGGCAAGCACTCTACCAACGGAGCTATATCGCCAAGCCTATCAAACTTTTAGTCGCTATTTTTGGTAATTATAATCATATCACTAAATAACTATTACTTAGTGTACTTTATCTGGATTTTCCAGGTAAGGTATTATCTACTCACTTCTTGCTATGGATGATAAGAATTTAAATCTCTTTTGCCAACCATTTTCAAAAACATGTGTACATGCACTCACACACACTGTCCCCTCCTCTGTGCCATATAGATTTATGATAATTTGATTTAATCTTCAGCATTTATCAGATTATGATTTAAGGCTATGTGAATATTATTTTCATCTGCACTATGTGGTATACTACAATCGTTTTCCCTGTCTTGAACCATTTTGAAAAATTTAGTGAAGTACATAATTGTCTTGTTCTTTATTCTTTAGTTTGCTTTTCTCTTCTGCTGAACCATCCGAATCCATCCAGTGTTCTATCAGCTTCCTCTTCTTGGACATGCCTCTCTTGAACCCTTTGGACTCCAGTCTGAACCATCTTCTGTCCGTGGTGCATAACTCCCAACCCGAGGTGCTCTGCACATTTCTTTCTGGAATTCCCTTGGTCCCTCCTAGTGTGATGCACTAGGGTTTGGAGGTTGTGTCTTCCTCTCTCTTGGTTTACCCAGTGTTACTGTGTAATACCTCTTCCAGAAGCTACCTGCATAGAGCTTCAGAGGAGATAAACTGCTAAGCAAGTCTGCAAGACTTTAAGTGCTCTCATATTTCATTCACATTTCTCCGGGCTTTTAGTATAAGCCCTCTGCTCCCCACTGTGCCTGGTGCCCCCAATCCACAGAACCTGTACTTTTCCCATCAAGAGGCAAAACTGTCATTCCTCTGCCAGGGATTACTGAGATAGAGGGAAGTGGTTGCTTGGTTAAGTGGGGTGGGGGAGAGTGTGAAGGGGTTTGGATTCTTTTAAACAGACTTTCTACCAATTCTGTTTTTGCCATTATCTTTACAATGGCTTTCAGCTGCCACCTTTTTTTCTTCCCTTTATTTTTGCAGAGCTGAGATGAAACCCCAGGTTTCATGTGCACATGCAAGGTATGAGTTTTGCCTCTGAGCTACACCCTGGATCTCAGCCAACTTCTGAAGATAAAAAGAAATAGTCTGGCACTTGCCTAGTGTGTACAAGTCCTGGGTTTGATCCTAGTACCCCTGCACCCACTATTTTATACACACACACACACACACACATACACACAAACACACACACGGACATATATATTCATATCACTAAATAACTATTTATATATACACATATATGTGTGTATATATATATACATTTATTATTATTATTATTTTTCCTTTACATAGAGTAAAACAAACTGGGTTGTTGCTAGTTTCCCTCAACTCCTGATTTTAGGATTTGGCTTTTTTGGACTACTTTCTTTATTAGCATATGTCCTTTTTACTTTCCAACATTTATTTTATTTTTTTGGTACTAGAGATTGAACCCAGGGGTGCTTTCCCACTGAGCTATGTTCCCAGTCCTTTTTAGTTTTAGATTTTGACACAGGGTCTCAATAAGTTGCTGAGCCTGGCTCAAACTTGTGATTATCCTGCCTCAGCCTTTCAAATTGCTGGGATTATACATGTATGCCATTTCACCTGGCTTCCAACATCTATTTTAGAATTTATTATTATTATTATTATTGCTATTGTCTCCTTTCCTATTCTTTTTGCTTTTTGGAGTGATACTCTGAATGAAAGTCTTTTTTACTGTATTTTAGTGAGTTTCAGAAGAGGGGAGTAAGCATCTGTTTAGTCCACAGTCTTTAACTACAAAGCCTCCTTAATTCATTCTCTAGTTTCTGCTTCTCGCTATTGTCCCTGGTGTCTTTGAAAATCTAATCCACAGTAGACAATATGGGACTCAATTGAGGTTGACTTGTATGTCTTTCCAAGATGGAGTAATCTGGACTCATAAATTTTGATGAATAGACTTAAAATCTTCAAATGAGAAAAACAGCACTACTTTATTGACCAATTTCCAATATATTTTTTATTTTAATCTGGGACTCATAAGCATTATTATTCTTTCTCTATGTCTGCGGAGCATGTGTAAAAGTAGAACTTCATTAACATGAGTTACTTTCATAGCTGAAAAAGAGAGCAAAACTTATATTATTATGAGATTCTGACAGTTACATTTCCCCCTCTCTTTACCAGGGAATTATATAGATAAAAGGAATATCACATAAGTGTTCTACGATAATCAGACCTTTTTTCACTCTCTCTTTCTTACCTACTAAGCTCCCTGACAGGAAGCTGAGCCTAGATAAATAATATCTGGGATATTTGAGGAATTATACTACAGCATTGGGGTGACCACTAGGAGATTCCATGATTCCGTGAAGAGCCTGAATATCTGCAAGTGTGTCTCTGAGTGTGTTTTGATTTGGCTGCACCTGAGTTATGAGGAAGTGAAGAATATGGCTCAGAACACATAGGTAGCCACGTAGACTTGAGTTCTGTCCACTTGCTAATGAGACTGACTTGCACAAGGTACTTAACCTTTATAAGCTCCTGTTTCCTCACCTGTACAGTAGAAAACTTAATACCTGCCCTGCAGGTTCTTGTAGAGATTGAATGTGATAATGTATGTAAAGTACTTGGGACAGTAGTGACTGCCCCTTGGGATGCCCTTACTGTGGGAGGTTGGGATTTACCGTGCCTCTCTATCCCCCTTTCAACATAAAGAATCTGCATCATCAGTTCCAAAAGTTCAAATATTTTCTAGATATTTGAGAAAACCATTGAGTCACATCTGTGGTGATATATTTGCCAGCCTTTAAATGTAAGTTTATGATATAGGCATTTAAAAATCTTGCAAAAGATACAACCCTCCCTGCCCCAGAATCCTCGGATCCTTAAAACAAAGTAGTTAAAAGATGCCTAGCAATTCTTCTCCATGAAGCCCATTAAGATAACGAACATGGTGGTACACACCTGTAATTCCAGTGTCTCAGAAGGCTGAGACAGGAGGATCTCAGGTTAGAGGCCAGCCAGAGCAACTCAGTGAGATTCTGTCCGGAAAAAAAAAAAAAAAAGAATAAAAGGGGCTGGGGATATAGTTCAATGGTAGAGTACTCCAGGGTTTAATACTCAGTGCTCTCCAAAAGGACATAGAATTAATTAAAAACAAAACAAATCTTAGCACAGTGTGCCAGACCAATTCTGAAGGATGTTGGTTATGCTATAGCTCTTCAGATCAACTTTGTTTTTCAAATGGTTGTGTGATGTATTTATTTTTGTGAAATATCACATGATAAAACACTGAACAGGTGCTGGAATGGATATAAATATACAAGCTGTTTTTTTCCCCCTTCTTCAAGATAGAGTGGTGATTTGTATAATTCCATTACTTTGTTTCTCCTTTTTTTTTTTTTTTTTCCTTCTCTCTTTCTCTTTTCCTGATATGGGGACATGGTGAAAGATCTTAACAGGCTAAATTAGATAAGGCGGAAAAGCTGGGCTGGCCTAGTTTGCTGCAACTTCCCTATGTGACTACCATGTGCACCCAGGACCTAGAAATACCTGTCCTGTTGCTAACCTGTCATTTAAAATAGCCTCCGATGGTTTGGTGTGATTCAATCAGTCCTTTGGTCTCTCTTGGTGACTTAAATATGCAGTCACTATTGTGGCTTCTTATCCACATGAAAGCTTTTGGGAACTCTTGGCCTTGTGTGCAGCTGCCAGAGACTGAATCCTCCATCTGCATTCTCTTCACCCACTTCCTAGGGACAACCTCGCTCAGTAGGTCTAGCCTGACTCAAACTCACAAGTGATGGTTTCTGCCTTAAGTCGTTAAGTCGATGGTTCTGTGGATCTTAAGCTACAGCAGAATCCAGTCAGACAGGGCAGGGAGAGAGAGAGAGAGATGCAGTGGAGATGATGCAATCCTTAATGGTGGCTCCCATCTTTGTCCCAAAGGCATAATTCAAGAGAAAAAAAACCTCCTTTTCCTTTCCAGTCTCCCTTCTGGCCCCATGAAGAACCACAGAATGGAAAAACTAGTGGGCTTGAGATTCGGTCTTTGGTTTTAAGCCTGCACTGTCAGGTTTACTCCAAATTGTACCATTTCCTAAATGCTTGAATTAAAAGCAAAAGGCCAAGAGTATAAATTCTCTTTGATTGACAGACAAGAAAACACGAGTACTTTGTATTATGTATGTTTACAGCTAAAAATAAAACTGCTTCTGCAGCAACAAAAATTTTATTTTGAAAAAGTTATTTTCCACTTTTTTTCTAAAATTAGATCGTCACCGTGTTCTATTTGCCTCACTTTTTTTTTGGTTTCCCTGGAGTGCTGGTTATGAAGCAAGTAGTTTCTTCCATTAAAAAAAAAAAATCACAATTCATAAGATTTCATCCCATTCCACCTCTTTCAAGATCTCTTGGTTTGAGCCCTTAAACTGTTTGTGCTGATTGTCAATGGAATCCTCAGGGGTCTGGGGACCTCGCCTTTTTCCTTTCAAGTGTACTCAGAATCAGCAGGTTCTTGTATTTCAGAATTTAATTTGGGGCTTTAAGAACAATTCAGCACCCCAGTTTTGAAATTTGATGCCAACTGCTAGTCACTGTCCATCCTTGCTCGGTTCTTCTTTGCCCCTGAAGCCTTGCTCTTTGAACTCTCTCATGACATCAAAAGGAGCCCTGCTTTGAGGGGGCAAGAATCTCACTGCCAGGACATTCTGTTTCAGCATTTCAAATTTAAATTGTGATTCTATTTTATAAGACCGGGTCTTATTTTCTGTTTTTCCTAGAACCCAGCCCGTTACAGAATTGTAACAAATGGAAAAGAAAGCCTAGGAAGAAATTAATTAAGTGTTGCATCAGAAAAGGTCAAATAATTATTATAATTATGGTCTCTGATTCATTTAAAGTCATTTTATTGTTTTGATAAATGCTTAGTTTCATTTATTTACTTTTAAATTCAGTACTGGGGATTGAACCCAGGGGTGCTAACCACTGAACCACATATCAAGCCCATTTTATTTTTTTATTTCGAAACAGGGTCTTGCTAAGTTGCTTAGGGTCTTGCAAAGTTGCTGAGGCTGGCTATGAACTTGAGATCCTCCTGCCTCAGCCTCCCTAGTCATTGCGATTACAGGTATGTCACACCACATCCAGCAGTTTTAGTTATTTATTTAAAAATAAAACCCCAGAATTTGTATTATATGAAACAAGTTTTATTCAAGAAATCAAATAGGACAAGAATACTTTCGGAAATTGTTCTTTTTGAGCTGGGTGTGGTGTGGCACACCTGTAATCTTAGTGACTAGGCAGGCTGAGGCAGGAGGATCACAAGTTCAAAGCCATCCTCAGCAATTTAGCAAGGACTTAGGCAACTTAGACCCTATCTCTAAATAAAATATAAAGAAGGGCTGGGGATGTGACTCAGTGGTTAAGCAGGCATGAATTCAATCCCTGGTACTAAAAAGAGAGAGAGATAGAGAGATAGAGAGATAGAGAGAGAGAGAGATTGTTGAAACTGTTACTTTTATGTGTATGTTGGAAAGTATTAGGTTCATATTTTAAACAAAAGTTTAGATACATATATTCTGACTGAAGCCATAGGAAGATCTTAGAGGATAAATTAAAAATACTCACTTCAGATGTAGGGAGTAGGAAAGGGGCACATTTGGGACAATGAAGGAGAAGAGTTTGGTAAAGAGGAGGGTGTGCTGAGCCCTTTCCTAGTTCTGACCTACGCGTAGGGAACTACGTGGCAGTGTGTGTGCAGGTGCTGGGAACATTGGCCAATGGCGTTGTCCTAGCCACTCATCCAGCAAGTACTGTCTCTCTGCTCAGGATGCTGCTTTGCCCTTACAGCCCTCATATTTTTCATCCCTTAACCAAGAGGTGAATTTCCTGTCCATCTGTCTCTTCTTGGGTCTCCTCTTCAAGATCATCCTTGGAAGTATTACAAAGAAAGTATCTTAAGCATTAATTTCGGTCCATGTTTTCATGTTCTTGTTCTTGGACCATGGGTTGGTTTCTTTGGAGACAGTTTCCGACTGGAATGCCAATTGTTACAACGTTGCAGATATCAAATTACAACCTATAGTTAATATTCAGCATTATAAGAATATTTTAAAGCAGAAGTCACCAAATACAGAGCTTGTGGAGAGAATATGTGTCATTGCCTCTTTTCCCAGAGTCCTTCAACAAAATATGGCTTTATGAAGTCAAAAGTTAAAAGTGTTTCTGATCAGGGATGGTGTGGCATATTATAGCCACTGCTGGGAGGAGGAGAATTCTCCTGTATGAAAGATTGAGAAGAATTTAAATGATGATAAGTGAATATTTTAAGAAATATACTTCTAAAGTAATGAAGAAACTTACAGGAATGCCATCCAGTTTATAAGAGCAACAAGGCAAAAATCAGAGCCACTTGATAAATAACCTTGAATGGAATTGTGGGAATTTTGTATATTTAAAAATTTGAGTTTGGGGGCTGGGGATGTGGCTCAGTAGTAGAGTGTTCACTTAGCATGCTTGAGGCACTGAGTTTGATCCTCAGCACTACATAAATGTACAATGAAGATATTGTATCCACTTAAAACTAAAAAATTAATATTTTTAAAAAATTGAGGGGCTAGGGTTGTAGCTCAGTGATAGAGTGCTTGCCTCTCATGCATGAGGCACTGGGTTCGATTCTCAGCTCCGAATATAAACAAATAAATAAATAAAAGTCCATTAATAACTAATAAAATACTTAAAAAAATAAAACATTATTTATTTTAAAAAATTGAGTTTGTTCCATTCAATCACATGGAAAAAGTATGTTCTGTTTTCCTTTGACTATTTATACTGTGAACTAATCTTACCTAGTCTCTCACTCTCTTAGCCATTTTTTTTAGTGTTTAAAAATGTAGCTGTTCCTTGAATTACAATGGAGTTTTGTCCTGGTAACCTTGTCATTAAGTAAAAGAAAATGGTAACTAAAACTTAACACCAACCCCCCCCCCCCGCCCAAATAACCCAGTAAATAAATGGACAAAGGAACTGAAGAGACACTTCACAGATTAAGAAATAAGAATGGTCAACAGATGTATGAAAAATGTTCAACTTCTCTAGCCATTAGAGAAATGCAAATCAAAACTACACTGACGGGGTTGGGATTGTAGCTCAGTGGTAGAGCGCTTGCCTAGCATGTGTGAGGCACTGGGTTTGAGTCTCAGCATCATATAAAAATAAATAAAACAAAAGTCCATCAGTGACTAAAAAAACAAAACAAACAACAAACAAACAAACAAACAAACAAACCAAAACTACACTGAGATTCCATCTGACTCCACACAGAATGGCAATTATAAAGAATACAAATAATGATAAATGTTGATGAGGATTTAGGGGAAAAGGTTATGTATACATTGCTGGTGGGACTGCAAATTGGTGCAACCATTCTGAAAAGTAGTATGGAGATTCTTCAAAAACTCGGAATAGAGCCACCATTTGACCTAGTTATCCCATGCCTCAGTATATAACCAAAGAAGTTAAAATCAGCATACTATAGTGACATAGCCATATCAATGTTTATAGCAGCACAATTCACAATAGCTAAGCCACGGAACCAACCTAGGTTCCCTTCAACAGATGAATGGATATATATACACACAATGGAATATTAATCAGCCATAAAGAAGAATGAAATTACGGCATTTGCTGGTAAATGGATGGGACTGGAAGCTATCATGCTAAGTGAAATCAGCCAATCCCCATAAAAGCAAAGGCTGAATGTTCTCTGATAATGTGGATGCTAACACACCATAAGGCAGGACAGGAAGAATAGAAGTTCAGTGGATTAGACAAAGGGGAATGAAGAGAAGGGAGGGGAGATGGGAATAGGAAAGCTAGTAGAATGAATCAGACAGAACTTTCCTATGTTCATATAAATACAGGACCAGGGTAACTCAACATCAAGTACAACTACAAGAATGGGATCCTAATTAGAATAAGTTACACTCCGTGTATGTATAATATGTCAAAATATACTCCACTGTCATGTATCTCTAAAAAG